AGAAAATCTGCAAGAGACAAAAATTATTTATTTTCTTCTCATAAAATTCTGAGAATTTTTTCAACTTTTTAGTACTGCATTTTCTTATTTTTACTATATTAATTTTTTCAAAATTTTTTCAAAATTTTTTAATACCGTATTTTCTCATGTTAGTAAAAATAAGAAAATGCAGTACTAAAAAATGGCTAAAAAATTCTGAAAAAATTCTTAGAACTTTATAAGAAGAAAATAAATAATTTTTGTCTCTTGTAGTTTTTCTGTAAAGTTGATATCTCGTTAACTATTGCAAAAATTGCAAAATGGTAGAGGACTTTTCAACTCAGTTTAGTCCGTTCTATCTACACAAAAGTGATTGGCAAAAAAGGTCGGGACTTTCGAGCACACGAAGCGCTTGTGTGCAATTACAGTGGACTGAACTGTGTTCAAAAGTCATTTGGAATTTTCGCAGTAATTTACGATTAATTATGCCAGTTCTCGTCCGGCTGGATATGATGTAGTCGCTCCCCGTCGCGATTACCCCAACAGGTTTCTTTAAAAAGTTTTCGAAACGATCCCCAGGCAGCGCGGGCTACCGATAGTGTGGCGACCATCTCGCCTCGCCGCGCCCGATGCTTCATTGTGTTCCTGTTGCGGAATACCCCATCATCCCAGAATCATTCTCGTAATTAATTTTCAGGATAAAGTTTCTTCTTTGGTGTTACAGAAGGATTTATGGGTAAGGCAAGGAAAGGAAAGCGATCTCATTCGCGGAATAGGCTTTGAGAGCCCGAAAATAGGCTAGAGTGACGGATTCAAGTGCGCACGCATGGAGAGGTTAGAGGATCGGGACTTCCCCCCTTTGTCACCGCCTCGGTCCACATCTTTAGTTCACCAAGCGACTCCTCTGTCTCATAATAAGACTATATTAACGGAGAATGCTTCTCCGACAGCGGACCTTGAGCAAATATCTCCAGTTGAATGCGGCAGGGCAACGCCTGCTAGACAGGAAGGGCCCACTGTCCATTGCGACACAGGTGTGTACCTATATTCCAGGACTATAATCACATAAGAATATAGTTGAGCGATACGGACACAACCTCGAGAACTCTCAGAGTTCTCACTTTTCTTCAAGAATTCCAATCTGAGGTTAGTAAATCTTTCCTTGGATTCGCCGCACGCAGGTAACAATACCTTTGTTCCTGCCTCTAACGGAGATTACGTGGGACAGTCCCAGGAGCTTCAGACTCGCATTTCAGCGGGAAAAAACATCCTAGCTAAGGTATTATTCGCCACAAAATTAGAAAACGTAGAAATACAACCATGAAATAAACGAGTTACGGCCAAAGGGCGCGACCACTCTCAGAAATATACTCCTTCGGAGGAGGTTGCATTCCTAAGGTCGTCAATTGATGGGATCGGTGTCGCTCGCCGTGTTCAAAGGAATTGGTTAACTATAATCAACTACAATGAGATGAGTTGTCAGTCAGTCGGATGCACACTAGTCGCACACAGTGCGACTCGCACTAGTGCGCGTAATCCGCGGCCAATCGCGTGCGTCCGCAGGCGAAAGACGGCCTCGACACACAATTCTTTTAATTTGTTCTCTGTAACCGATCTTCTGGACTTTTTGCTTTTTCGGCATCTCAAAAAATTTTAAATCCAGAGCTCAAATCGTATTTAAAAAATAACTCTTGTTAAGAGAGACTCTTTCAATTCTAGAATCAGAATCAGGTTGGCGCTGCCCTAGTTGCATTCGGTGAAGCGATCTCTGAACTTCTCAGACCATTGGTTCAGCGCGACTTGCCTATAGAGGCATGTTCTGCAGTTTGAAGGTAAGCAAAGGTGCAAAAATATCGGCGGACTTCTTTACCGCCTTTCTCTATCGAGACAGGTGCAGATTATGCCTGCTCTTAATCTGTTAGCGATGAGCTGATGCAGTTCCATCAGATATCTACCTTTTGGTACGTCTTTTAGTGAGGAAATAAAGAAAGCCTCGCTGATGGAGAAATCGAGCAAGAACCTCATCAAGACTCCATTGACAGGATAGACTCATCAACCAGCGAGACAAGTTACCTTTCAGATACCATCCACTGTCTCAGATTAGCGAGCCCACAGTAAATTTATCGGAAAGCGAGCAGAGGATTGGTAAACAGGAAATATTTAGACTCTGCGAGAAAGGAGCTCTCGTATTAGTGCTCGATTCTGAGGACCGATTCCTATCTTTATATTTTGTAATAGGAAAAGCTTCAGGCAGTTGGAGATTCATTTTGAATCTGAAATATCTTAACGAGTTTATTGGCGCCCCGCACTTCAAGTTTGAAGACGGGAAAGTGATCACATCCCGACGATAGAAAATATCTTCGCTTTCAATCTCAGAATCAGCTCTTTCAATTTACCGCACTACCCTTCGGGGCCGTATATATTTACTAAAATATTAAAGCCAGTTGTACAGTTTCTTAGGGGAAAGGGCCTACTTTCGGTGGTCTATTTAGAGGATTTCCTCCTCATAGCCCATTCACATCACCAATGTCTGAGAAATATCTCAGCACCTTCCAGGCTTCTAACAGCATTAGGTCTTGTTAGCAACGAGGATAAGATTTCCTTAACATCTTCAAGATCTTGTCGCTTTCTTGTTTTTACTTTCGACACGAAGAACTTTG